GTACGTCCGTAGGGGGCGGTTAGTTAATGTAGTACGGTCAATCCCACTGTTCGTTAGGTAAAGAGTAGTCCCAAGTAGGTTGGTCGGTGGTGGTGACTTACTAGCTGCCTTCCCTCTAGTCTTACACTGCTAAATTAGGGACGGCTAGCGCAGATAGCCCTCGTGTAGCTTTGCGCGAAATTCAAAACAAACAAACAAACAAACTTATCATCGTGAAGTTATTTATCATATTCCTGAAAACATCGTATGGTTTTATGGTGAATTTCAACCACTGTATACAAAATGAATTCAAAATATTTCCAACATTCAAATTGTTGAAGACATACATGAATTTTTTCATGATTATTTATGGTCTGATAAACTCAATCTTTTTATCATTGATGTTCTTATGAGTGAAAGTGAAGAAAATAAACGAGTGTCTCAAATTTTTACACATGGAAGTCACCATTTGAAATTATCAGTGTTTTATATTGTACAGAATCTCTTTCGTCAGGGTAGAAAAATGCGTAATACTAGTTTAAATTCTCAGTACATTATATTGTTCAAAAATATCAAAGACAAATTTCAGTTGAATGTTTTAGCGAGACAAATGTTTCCATTTTGTATCAAATATTTTGATGAAGCCTTTCAAGACACAACCATATAGTTACTTACTCATCAAATGCCCGAACAAATCCATCTGAGGACCGGACTTTTTCCTGAAGATAAAGTTATAGTGTATGCACCAAAGTAAGTTTAAATATTGTTTAACTGAATATATGCTCATTTATTATCGTGACTACTGCAGTGACAAAACTAGAAGGATTTTATTTGAAGAATGGACCAGATGTAATTAAAGAACTTGCATTCAAATGTTTAGTCACTGAATATGTTTTATTTAAACAACCTTTTTTGAGTAAAGAGTTTTCAGATCGTCGTCAGTGTAATTGGGTGATATGGCACATTCATAACATTACAAGGAAATCTGGTAATGTTGTCTATCCATACCTGTGGAGTGTGGTTAGATTGTTGAGAAAGAACTTTACTACAGTTTATACAAAGGGGAGAGGGAAAGCCGAGATATTGAGAAGTCTGCTGAACATTCCTTGTTACAATCTGGAATTGTTTGAATGCCCCAAGGATAATCAACTTCCAAAATCGACTCTATCATGTTGAATTCATATTAACAATTATTAACACTGTAGCGTGAAAACGTATACCTTATATCTAAATGAACGTATGAATACACAGTTTTTATATGTTGTATTCACACTCTCTTTTCATTTATTCACCACTGACATTTAGAACTAAACAACGTCAAAAATTGCTCCATTCATTACCTAAAGCTACATATAAACAGATTAATGGAAGAATTGCTGGAGCTAAAAATGAATTGAGTATTTGTTTATGTGCTTTAAAGGGTAACGTTCCCAAGACGACCATACAAAAACAGAAACTTAAACGATACAAGTCATTATTGAGAAATGTGGCTGTCAAGAAAACAGTTAAACAGAAAAGAAACTTGGTAATACAGAAAGGAGGGTTTATACCATTGCTTTAGCACCAATAGTTTTATCATTTGGCGGTTTGGGCTATTGGTAAAGCTGCTAGAATCTAAAATATGGCAAAAGAAATAGTTCTCGTTCCTGAAGAACTGGTACATCCTTTAAAGTGAAATCAACATGGCCTTACAGTACAAATTTTAGTACAATTCTAAGTGATTGAAGAATATTTGGACAGGCATCACTCGCCACAGAGAAGGATCCAGATCAAAACATGGGACAGGCCCCTGAAAAATATATATAATGAAAGAAAGAAAACTTATCCAGTTCTAGTCACAATGAAGTTTGAAGAATGGCAACAGGTGGAAGACAATAACTCAACATGGAAGAAACAGCAAAACGATACAGATAGTGAGAGATGAAAATATGTGGAGTGGTCCACATGCCCACTTGAAGAATTTCCTCCAAAGGACAACACAGATGAGTTACCATGGAAAAAATAAGGTGCCTAATCTAATGGGAAGACACCCAAAATAGTGGATGGAAAAAGATGACAAGGAAGAATAAGGCAATCAAATTAACATCCGAACCAAATTGTTAAGGGTGGAAGGAGAGAGATCACAAACAGAGGATGTTTGACAAGTAATGAATAAGCGGGAATGGTTATGACAGAAGGAAGCCATGTGCCTGATATAACAAAGAGCAGGAACTGGACATAAAAGTCTGTCCAGATCCAACCTGGAATAGAGAAGGAAATGGAATGAATGGAAATCAGTGAGGAGGAGGAATTACCATCCCGATCTGCCAAAATCTTAGGAAGGAAACATCGATCTAAGTAAAGTAGAAGATAAGAAGAATGGTACAGAGTATCTGAAATGTCGATGGCAAACAAATCCGCCCAACAACGTTCACAGACCAAAAGGAGGGGGGAAAATCGCTTTAAGGGATAAATGAAGACAAAGATTCAAATGGAGATAAAGTAAAGCAGTGATGCACCACATTGATATTCCAAACTGGAAGGGATGCACGCCGTGGAGGTTGACTAATCCAGAAGAAACATTAGAAGAGTGATAAGGTATGGGAGACAAAAACTTTATGGTACTGCCAAAAAATGAAAAGTGTGGGATGAGGCTGCCCAATACCCAAGATCAATGAGATCAAATAACCAAGTGAGGAAATCTCTAATAAGAGGAACGATACAAAAATTCAAAAGAGCACTAAATAGGATGTTCAAACATGAGCACTGCCAAACAAGAAGTGATAGATAGGTAGAATAGTATAGAGGGAGTCACGTGGATGTTTGGTGCTTTGCATGGGAGAATTAGATAAACCATGTGAATCAAGGTGTGAGTGGGAGAGAAAGGCTTGTGGCATGCGAAAAAATTTTGCATATAGAGGGCAGCACTTAACGAGAATAGCTATGTATGTGAGATGAAGTAAGGTACCTTGTCAGAATTATGCTTCTTATTCTTCTTTCAATGTATCACCCCTAGTGTCAGGTACTTAAAAATCAAATGGTTCATTCATAAAACTGATGAAAACATAAGATTCAGTGATAATAATGATGTATTATGGTAACAAATGTATGAAGGTAATTTTTTTCCTTTGCAAAGATGTTAGCTACATACCATGTTTCTAAATGTTTGAAGTAAATCATCAAGTGTTTTGTTTTTTCTACTTCAGGATTTTAAATTAAAATTCTCGACTCAGTAAAGATAAATAACTGCTTTATTCACTCTAAAACATCTAATTTTTTTCATATTTATGGTTAAAATTTTAGGGTTAAAACCACAGCTAAAGAGCGGGAACTGCCCTGCATATATAAACAATATTTTCTGTAAAAGTCTAAAATTAGTTGAAGAAACTGTTATTAGTTTTGGCATAGGCACCTGAAAACTTCCCTGAAGATAGGATTATCAGTTTTACGTTTACAGTTTGGGATTCTTACTCTGTATATGAAGCCATGATTCAGAGTGAAGGGACAAATACATGCATTATCATGTAAAAAAAAAAAAAAAATCAGAGCTAATCAACCAGATTCTTAGCAGTTCTAAACTAAAACACACACAACTTTCTCTAAACTCACATTATTGGAGATCACACTCACATCACCTTTCAACTTCAAAACAAATAAAATCTAATTCATCTTCTTTAACTTGTACAATATTGTGAGAGCAACTACAGAATATACAAAACATGGCACACTCTTAGCACCTTGGACAATGTTTCTAATTCAAGCAGCGGTCTCATGTTCCAGACACAAGACTGAAAATTCTTTTCTTTGACATAAAAGTTTTAATTTATAACCAGGTAATATGTTTTGCATAAAAACATCTTGAACACATCACAGCTTACGCTGGATAAATTGTAACAAGTAACCAATGGTGTTTCCCTTCAAATGAAAAAAAAAAGTCTTAACCACTTAAAAGTTATACTAAGGGTTAGACTAAGCTCGGTCAAAAATTCGGAAAAATTGAAGCAACGGTTTTTCGTTACCGTGTGCAGTCTGTGTCAGACTAGTAGAACAAAAGTTCAGGTCTACTACCAGTGGAACATCCACAATTTAACGGACTGCACACGTTCGAAGTACAGACATTCATACCTCTTCACAAAAAGAACAAACATTTCAAGGTGTGAATGTCTGGCGAATTTGGACGAATGCCATCATTGGTGAGTTGACAGACATAGATTTGTGTATTCAAATCCAATCTGCCCACTAAACTTTCACAAAAAAAATTAACAGATTATGAATCACAATAGAGCTGTGATTAGTATATGTAAACGTTCACCAGGCATCCAACACCATTCACATAGAACCACATTATTCAATTTAAAATTGCTGGTAAAATTCTCATATACTAATCACAGTCGCACAAATAATTTCACAAAAACTTCAAAATTTTCAAATTGGAGGTGGTCCATTTGGATAGCGTAGCATTGGGTCCAAAGATCGTGCAAAGTTGTTTGTCAGAACACAGCTAAAATCATCTTCTGAAACAGGCAGAAGGCTGGCTACTCCTAGTAGGAGCAACATCAGTGCTTGGAACGGTAGGGATGTCCTCACTACTCGAGCCAAATACTGGTAGTAACTATTCACTGTAGTTGGCTGTTCTCTTCTTTCTTCCTCCCTGTAAACAGCATTAATATTATTTCTGATGTTCTCAATGATGTGATATTCAGTTTGTATATAAATGTTACTTAGGCTTAGATGAGTGTATGTAATGTCTGCTACATTTAACTGTAGTCATGATGCATTACGTAATGTCTGCTACATTTGACTGTAGCCATGATGCATTATGTAATGTCTGCTACATTTAACTGTAGTCATGATGCATTACGTAATGTCTGCTACATTTAACTGTAGTCATGATACATTATGTAATGTCTGCTACATTTAACTGTAGTCATGATGCATTACGTAATGTCTGCTACATTTGACTGTAGTCATGATGCATTACGTAATGTCTGCTACATTTGACTGTAGCCATGATGCATTACGTAATGTCTGCTACATTTGACTGTAGCCATGATGCATTATGTAATGTCTGCTACATTTAACTGTAGTCATGATGCATTATGTAATGTCTGCTACATTTAACTGTAGTCATGATACATTATGTAATGTCTGCTACATTTAACTGTAGTCATGATGCATTATGTAATGTCTGCTACATTTAACTGTAGTCACGATGCATTACGTAATGTCTGCTACATTTGACTGTAGCCATGATGCATTATGTAATGTCTGCTACATTTAACTGTAGTCATGATGCATTATGTAATGTCTGCTACATTTAACTGTAGTCATGATGCATTATGTAATGTCTGCTACATTTCATATTCAGTGATCATGACTCCCAGTTCTAGAGCTGCCAATGATATATTAAAACAGTATTTCCAGTACATGGTATTCTGTCAGTGATCATGACTCCTGGTACTAGAGTAGCCAGTGATATATTAAACCAGTACTTCCAGTACATGATATTTTGTTCACTGTATTTATAGAGTTAATTATACATACTGGTCTGGCTTAGTTTATTTTAGAGAACTGATACTGATCTAGCCAAGCTTACTTTACAGAAATAACACTAAACTAACCAGATTTATTTTAGAGAACTTGTACTGAACAAGCACTTCTGTTTTAAAGTGCTGATACTGAACTAGCCAAGGTTACATTAGAGAACTGATACTGAACTAACCAAGGTTACATTAGAGAACTGATACTGAACTAGCCAAGGTTACATTAGAGAACTGATACTAAACTAGCCAAGGTTACATTAGAGAACTGATACTAAACTAGCCAAGGTTACATTAGAGAACTGATACTGAACTAGCCAAAGTTACATTAGAGAACTGATACTGAACTAGCCAAGGTTACATTAGAGAACTGATTGAACTAGCCAAGGTTACATTGGAAAACTGATACTGAACCGACTAAGATTACATTAGAGAACTGATACTGAACTAGCCAAAGTTACATTAGAGAATTGATACTGAACTAGCCAAAGTTACATTAGAGAACTGATACTGAACTAACCAAGGTTACATTAGAAAACTGATACTGAACTAACCAAGATTACATTAGAGAACTGACTGAAGTAGCCAAGGTTACGTTAGAGAATTGATACTGAACTAACCATAGTTACGTTAGAGAATTGATACTGAACTAACCAAGATTACATTAGAGAACTGATACTGAACTAGCCAAGGTTACGTTAGAGAATTGATACTGAACTAGCCAAGATTACATTAGAGAACTGATACTGAACTAGCCAAG